TTGCTCAAGCCTTCCACCCAGCAATTCCACTTTCCTAGGAATTCCCTCTACAGATACTCTTTCACAAGTGCACAGAGATACAGCACAAGAAGGTCCACTATGGCACCATTTGCAAGAATGAAAAACTGGGCTGGGCTTGGTGGCACACACCCAGCTACTGAGAAGGTTGAGGTGGGAGGATTGCTTGAGCCCAGGACTTTCAGAGACTGGCCTAACCGATATAGCAAGACCTAGTCTCAAAAGAAAAAAAAAAAAGTGAAAAATTGGAAACAATCCCAAAGTTCACTTTAAAAGCACAGTTTAAAAATTCAGGCATGGCGGGGCACAGTGGCTCATGCCTGTAATCCCAGCACTTTGGGAAGCCAAGGTGGGTGGATCATGAGGTCAGGATATCGAGACCATCCTGGCCATGGTGAAACACTGTCTCTACTAAAATACAAAAAATTAGCTGTGCGCCTATACTCCCAGCTACTCAGAAGGCTGAGGCAGGGGAATCGTTTGAATCTGGGAGGCAGAGGTTGCAGTGAGCCGAGATCTTGCCACTGCACTCCAGCCTGGCAAAACAGCAAGACTCTCTCTCTCACACACACACACACACACACACACACACACACACACACACACACATTTCAGGTATGGCCGGGCACGGTGGCTCAAGCCTGTAATCCCAGCACTTTGGGAGGCCGAGGCAGGTGGATCACGAGGTCAAGAGATCGAGACCATCCTGGTCAACATGGTGAAACCCCGTCTCTACTAAAAATACAAAAAATTAGCTGGGCATGGTAGCGTGTGCCTGTAATTCCAGCTACTCAGGAGGCTGAGGCAGGAGAATTGCCTGAACCCAGGAGGCGGAGGTTGCAGTGAGCCGAAATGGGGCCATTGCACTCTAGCCTGGGTAACAAGAGCAAAATTCCGTCTCAAAAAAAAAAAATTTTTTTTTCAGGCATATTCATATATATCGTGAAGCCATTAAAAATGATGAGGAGGCTGGGCACAGTGGCTCACCGTGTAATCCCAGCACTTTGGGAGGCTGAAGTGTACGGATCACCTGAAATCAGGAGTTAACACCAGCCTAGCCAACATGATGAAACCCCATAGAGATTTGTAAAAATAGAAAAATTAGCTAGGTGTGGTGGCAGGCATCTGTAATCCAGCTACTGGGGAGGCTGAGGCAGGAGAATCGCTTGAACCCAAGAGGTAGGGGTGGCAGTGAGCCAAGATCACGCCACTTCACTCCACCCTGGGCTACAGAGTGAGACTCTGACTCAAAAAAACAAAAAAAGCCCAATGTGGTGGCTCACACTTGTAATTTGAGCACTTTGGGAGGCTGAGGTGGGTGGATCACCTGAGGTCAGGAGTTTGAGACCAGCCTGGCCAACATGGTGAAACCCAGTCTCTACTGAAAATACAAAGAAATAAAAAATGGCCAGGTGTGGTGGCAGGCGCCTGTAATCCCAGCTACTTGGGAGGCTGAGGCAGGAGAACCGCTTGAACCTGGGAGGCAGAGATTGCAGTGTGCCATGCTCATCCCACTGCACTCCAGCCTGGGCAACAAGAACAAAACTTTGTCTCCAAAAAAAAAAAAAAAAATGTACGTGTGCATTTATATTTAAAGGGCTTAAAAATACAACTAAGCATATGCTGAGAATAGGTGGCCATTCTCTGCTGTTCATGGGGTAGGTATGAAAGGAGGACATGAAAGGTCTGTAACCCCAATGTCACCCATACCTGGACACAATCTCCCTTCAGTAAATAAGCAAGGTCAGGCTTCTTTAATTAAGTGGACATGTTAATAGGTGAGTACTGGGGCTCACAAAACACTATATTCCCTGACTACTAGCAGCAGAGAGTCTGGCCTGGGTGGGTAAGTTTTGCTTGTGGGGTGAGCAAAGGAAGGAAAAGTCAGCAGCTCAAATTCCTTGCTGGGGAGGGGATAGCCCCGGGCTGAGGTGCCTGCGTGGCGCTGGGAGGAATTCTCGATGACTCGCTGTCAGCTTCATAAATCTGTCTCTTGGGCCAGCCATGGGGAGATGGAGATAAAGGTTGGAACAGGCTCAGATCTGAGCACAACCAGAGGGGTCTGTGGCCCACATGCCCCCAGGCCAGACTGGCTAGGCTATCCCTCGGGGTCCCAGGAATGGGATGCTTCCCAGACCAGGCTCCAACAAGGGTAGGAGAATGTTACTGGATTTCATGAACACTGTTCCTGACCCCTGACTCCCAAAATGCGTCATGGTGGATATTAAAAGTAAATTTGAAAGTATGGATGGGCAGGAGGAATTTCCTTGCCCTATAAAGAGAGCTACAAAGACAAGGTCGGGAATGGTTCCAGATCATCATCGCCAGCCGCACACAACTCGAATGCACAAAATGGGACAGTTTGAGGGGCCTTGGGGCATCTTTCTTGCCCCACTTTCCGTGTCACAGAGGAGGAAACAGGTAACCTTCCTCCAACAGAGAGCCGCAGAGCAAAGCCATCCTGCCACCAGAGCAGCCCCTCAGCGTGGGGTCTGGCTCTTTCTTCTTCCAGGAGTTGGACGGCTGAGCAGGAAAGCCCCCTCCTCTACCCTCAAATCGGAGCTGATGGCTAAAACTATAGGGCTGGGAGGCCTTAACTCACTGATGAATGGATGGATGAGACAAAATAGATCTACCCTGCAAGTGACTCTTAACGATCTGGACGAATTCAGTGAATGCAAGGCCTTGGTGGCCCCTCTAAGATCTGCAAAGCTCCTCCTTTTACTCCATGTCCTCAAACCTCCTTTGTAGATAAGAGAGAGAGAAAACATACTCACCGGTTCCTGAGCAAAGGCTGAGCCAGGTTGGAGGTTGAGACCCATGTTTTGTCAGGACTAAACTCATACTTGACCTCTGTGGTGGTGGCACCCTGCCTGGCCCTCCAGCCAAATGCCAAGGCCACAGGCCTCTCCAATCAGACACACAGGTCTCCATCCTGCTTTGCCCCGTTGCCATCTCAACATGGAAGGCTTCTCCCCGACTCAGCCCCAGTCTTAATTTCGGCAGCTGGACCTGTCTGCACAGAAAACCAAGGCGCTCTCAGCCCTGCCAATTTGCTACCCTTCCAACACAGGTCCCCTGGGTGCTGTATATTTTAACACACAGACTTCGCAGCCACTGCTCACACTGCATTTCCTTGTTGGTGGTTTGTTGCCTCTTGGATTTTCCATTCCCAAGTGCCCATTCACGCTCTGGAACAGGCGCCCACACTGCTGGCTGCCCCGGAGGTGCCGTCCCTCCTTTCCAGGAAAGCAATGCCAGAGACCCCGGCCTCTGCAATCCCAGTAGCCGGCAGCAGCACCTCTGCCGGTCTCCTTAGCTATGAGCAACGCCTGAGAGCTTGGTGTCTTTCCCCTGCCAGGCAGAGAGGGGCTGACCACAGCCGGGAGATCAAGTGAGTCTCAAAACATTAGAAAAAGCCAAGCCAGTCTGCAGAGCACCACAGCTGTCTCGGGCCTGGATACCATAGCAACCCTTGGCTTCCCGGCCCAGCCCATGTCTGCCCAGCAAAACTCTGCTGATTCATAAGACTTTGATTGCTCAGCTCGTGGCACTGCAGACTGGACCTGCTGCTCCCCAACTCGGGGGGTTTCCACCTACAGTACACTCTTCCTGGCAAAGCCTTGGGAATACTTAATTTAGCAAGGTCTTTCCGAAGAGGCCCTGAACATCACTAGGCTTACCCGCTTACTGCACGTTTGGCCCCTGTAATTATTTTAGCCACTGCTCAGGCTAGGCTTGTCAGCCTAATCTCTATCTCTCTGCTAGGCCCAAGCCTACGAGGTGTGGGAAGACTGAAGGGCTGAGTCCTCACTGCTGAGGGGCGGTTGTCAGCACAGCGCTGTGGGGGGATGGGGCGTTCAGTTTTTTTCTTTTAAATAGATGGTGTCTCACTATGTTGTCCAGGCTGACCTCAAACTCTTGGCCTCAAGTGATCCTCCTGCCTCAGCATTCCAAGGTGCTGGGATTACAGGCATGAGTCATTTTTTTAAAAAAAACTTGAACTCTTCCGGGAGCAAAGCCCTTTTTCCTTCTAATACACTCCCAAAGACAGTACAGAAAGAATGAAACATCCCCTTTACTTACATATGGACCAAGACAGAAAAATGAAATAAACTCCCCCTTGAGCTCCAAGTCAGTGACAAAATTAAAAATAGGCCAGGTGCAGTGGCTCACACCCATAATCCCAGCACTTTGCGAGGCAGAGGCGGGTGAATCACGAGGTCAGGAGTTTGAGATCAGCCTGGCCAACAAAGTGAAACGCCATCCCTACTAAAACAAAAAATTAGGCAGGTGTGGTGGCAGATGCCTGTAATCCCAGCTACTCAGGAGGCTGAGGCAGGAGAATCACCTAAACCCAGGAGGTGGAGGTTGCAGTGAGCCAAGATTGAGCCATTGAACTCCAGCCCAAGGGACAGAGTGAGACTTCATCTCAAAAAAAAAAAAAAAAAAAAGAAAAGAAACATCCTCCTGCTGCCCCAAATTAGGTAAAAGTGATGCAATAATTCAATAAAGGTAAACATTTTTTAAAAATAAAATTAAAAATAAACTCCCACTGCACTCAGTACTTAAATGGTTAAAAACAACAAAACAGGCCAGGTATTCCAGACCAGCCTGGCCAACATGGTGAAATCCTACCTCTACAAAAAACACAAAAATTAGCCAGGCATCACGGTGGGCGCCTGTAATCTCGGCTACTTGGGAGGCTGAGGGAAGAGAATCACTTGAACCCAGGAGGTGGAGGCTGCAGTGAGCCGAGATCGCGCCATTGCACTCCAGCCTGGGCAACAGAGGGGAGACTCCGTCTCAAAAAGAAAAACAAAACACACACACATCACAGGCATTTGCTGGAGTCTCTGGACTTCAGTGATCTCCTTCCAACATTTTTTTCCCTTCCAATGTTTTTTTGCTATGATTTCTTCTAGACACTTAAGTGATTTCCTGGAATAAATTATCTACATAAAAATTACACAACAATTAAATTCATGTTCTCAAAAATATTTAATGATACAGAAGTTCATCAGTTAACTGAAAAGAGCTGGACAGAAACTATACATGTTTTGTAAAATACACGTGCACACATACACAGACACAAACACAGAATATCCCCAGCAGACACAATTCATGGTGTCCGTGATTACATATGATGTGGTGGAGGGCTGGAGGATCATTTTCTACATTTGTAAGCTGCTTATAAAATTTTAAAAGTAGGCCAGGCGCACTGGCTCATGCCTGTAATCCCAGCACTTTGGGAGGCCAAGGCGGGTAGATCACCTGAGGTTGGAAGTTTGAGACCAGCCTGACCAACATGGGGAAACCCAATCTCTACTTAAAATACAAAATTAGCCGGGCATGGTGGTGTGCACCTGTAATCCCAACTACTCGGGAGGCTGAGGCAGGAGAATCGCTTGAACCCAGGAGACAGAGGTCACTTTTCACTTTTTAAGTTGCCTATTTCTACATTTTCTTAAAATAAGCATGTGCATAAGCCAGGCATGGTGGCTCACGCCTGTAATCCCATCACTTTGGGAGGCCAAGGTGGGCAAATCACAAGGTCATGAGTTCGAGATCAGCCTGGCCAACATAGTGAAACCCCATCCCTACTATAAATACAAAAAAAATTAGCCAGGTGTGGTGGCAGATGCCTGTAATTCCAGCTACTTGGGATACTTTGGAAATGACATACAAAAATTATTAAGAAGGCCGGGCACAGTGGCTCACGCCTGTAATCTCAGCAGTTTGGGAGGCTGAGGCAGGCAGATCCCCTGAGGTCAGGAGTTCGAGACCAGCCTGACCAATAAGGTGAAAACCCATCTCTGCAAAAAATACAAAAATTAGCCAGGTGTAGTGGTATGCACCTGTAATCCCAGCTACTTGGGAGGCTGAGGCAGGAGAATTGCTTGAACCAGAAGGCAGAGGTCGCAGTGATCTGAGATCTTGCCACTGCACTCCAGCCTTGGTGACAAAGCAAGACTCTATCTCAAAAAACAAAAAAAGAAAACACTATGTTTTTGTAAAAAATAGCTCCAATGGAGAACTCCTTGCTAACCAATCCAACCCACAATGGACTGTGGAAAAACAGTCCAATCTTGTTCTTCCTCTGAATGTCCATTAGCTGGGCGCAGTGGCTCACTCCTGTAATCCCAACACTTTGGGAGGCCGAAGTCGGTAGATCACCTGAGGTCAGGAGTTCAAAATCAGCCTGACCAGCATGGTGAAACCCCGTCTACTAAAAATACAAAATTAGCTGGGCATGGTGGCGCATGCCTGTAATCTCAGCTACTCAGGAGGCTGAGGCAAGAGAATCACTTGAACCCAGGAGGTAGAGGTTGCAGTGAGCCGAGACTGCACCACTGTACTCCAGCCTGGGCAACAAGAGCCAAACTCTGTCTCAGAAAAGAGAAGAAAAGAAAAGAAGAAAAAAGAAGAGGAGAAGAGAGAAGAGAGGCCACTGCCATTAATAATGGAATGAACAGTCATCCCCAGGGAACGAGGCTGCTCCAGGTCTGACCGGCACAAGCTAGAGCTGACTGCGGCCCAGTCTCCCGGATCTGCGAACCTCCTTCTCTAAGCCCCTATAGCTCCCTGGGCCAACTCCAGCCCCAGTACGGCCACCTGACCAACAGCTGACAGCTCCCTCTAGGGGCAACGTTTTTTTATTTACTGACAGGGACTGAAGAAAGACTTGACCTTCATACAGGCCCGCATTTAAAGGCTAAAGGCAAATCTAGGTTTAATGCAAATGCAATTATAGGGCACCAGTTTCATTCTTCCAGAGCCTTGCTGGGAATGACCTGCATGAGTATCTCTGTGAAGATACAAGGAACTGGAGAAAGGGAAAAAGCTGATGGTGGTGGATTGTCTTAAAATTCTTCACAAGGCCGACAGAGTAAAACATGATGTGAAAGAGCTAGGTTTCAATGTAAATAAGAAGCAACTGAGAAGCCAAAACCATGGTCTCAAAGGCATCAAAACAAATCACAGTAGCAAGGCTTCCTGTGCTTATTTTAAGCCTTCTGCTGTTGGGTCTAAGAGATGCTGAGGGGCCACCATAAAATACTAAAGACAATAATAACCAAGTTTAATTGAATAGACTGTTAAAACCCACACATCCTAGTAACAGTCTTACAAGGTGATGGTGCTGGGAAGATGAAATTCTGACAAAGTGGTGGCCACAATACCAGTTTGAACCTCAGCCCCAGTAAGTATCCTGCTGCCTGCAACACAACAACGTTGCGACCTGGTCCCATCACATGTTTATACAAACCACTTCCAACCTAAAGGACAGAGGGCCGGAAGCTCCACAAAGAACATGAAGAATGACCATCTGGCCAACAGCCTCTAGCACCCCCGAAAGAAAGCTCTAAATAGCAGAGCTGTTCACAGGTGCAGATTCAGGTCCAGCCTCCCACAAGCATAAGCGGAGCTTTCCCAAGAGCTGGTCTGCCAGTCCTTCTTCCAAACAGCCTAGTCTCCAGCTCTGCCCTGTGGTTGTCTTCAGCCTCAGATCAGAAGTCAATTTGGACCAATCTTTTTAAGAGCCTCCAGAAGGCCGGGTGCGGTGGCTCAAGCCTGTAATCCCAGCACTTTGGGAGGCCGAGGCGGGTGGATCATGAGGTCAAGAGATCGAGACCATCCTGGTCAACATAGTGAAACCCCGTCCCTACTAAAAATACAAAAAATTAGCTGGGCATGGTGGCGTGTGTCTGTAGTCCCAGCTACTCAGGAGGCTGAGGCAGGAGAATTGCCTGAACCCAGGAGGCAGAGGTTGTGGTGAGCCGAGATCACGCCATTGCACTCCAGCCTGGGTAACAAGAGTGAAACTCCGTCTCAAAAAAAAAAAAGCCTCCAGAAAAGGTTTTCCAGATTTCAAAGCAATTTCCTCAGCATTAAACCACAGGATTAAAAAAAAAGAAGGGCTCTGGACTCCAAACTTATCTATTAAACACGTTTAAATTTTTCTTTTCCTTTTTGAGAGATAAGGTCTTACTCTGTTGCTTAGGCTGGAATAGCTGGTGTACTCCAACGTGGAACTCTGAGGCTCAAGTAATCCTCTGGCCTCAGCCTCCTAAAGTGCTAGGATTACAGGCGTGTGAGTGAGCCACCATGCCTGGCCCTATCTATTAAACCTTGATTGAATGTAGACCAAGTACAATCGTACCAAATGGACTGGGATGAAATGACCACCTCAGGGCTGTGACCATTCACACTGGCTCCAAGGAGGCAGACCACCGGCCCCCAGGCCTGCACGCGGCGAGCCCTTGTATCCATGATGCTTGAGATACTGCAGGCCGACCTTCTTCCTTCCTTCTCGGTACATTGTTATGGCCCCAGTTTCCTTATTTTTATCCTGATTCTAATAACCAGGTCCTTGAAGAACTTTCTGAGGAATGTCTGTTTTAATGGCACATAAACTGTTTCCTGCCATTTTACTCCCTCTGGAAAGCACACCAGACAAGTATAAGTAGCTCACAGAAGACTAGAGCAAATTCTAGCTCATGCAGCTTTAAAAGAGAAACTTAAGACTACTATATGACATTCACGAATTACACAGAAAACACTGTTGTTAATAAGGACGCCATTCATGGCCGTGAAACTCCATCATGCCTCTTGTGGTCAGGCTTGAGACAAGGCTTTCTGGCAGGAAAGTTTCTTCCCTTAGTAAAAACACGAGCATCACTTCATTTTTCGGTAGAACTTGGGCCTTCGGTATGGTTTCTCTTTATGTGCCTCCTCAGGTTCTCTTGCTCCAATTTTCTCCGATGCTCCAGGAAGTTTAAAATTGTAATCCGTTGTGACATAAGGTACTATCCCTTCGACCCCACGCTGAAAATGGAAACACAAAGAGAAGGCATAGAAACACCTCAGGTCCAGCCTAGAGGAGTTTACAGCGCGTTCTCTCGCACCCAGAAGATAGTGTCACAGTGACACAGTCTGAGTAGGGACTTCTCACTTTTAAGGCATTTGATCCCTTCCTTCAGAGCCCTCTTTAAGCAACTGGCCTGGTAACAAACGTGCCAGTGCCTCCCTTCTGTCGCATTCTTTGAACACAGCAAACAGCATGATGCTGAGTGGGGGTGGAGTGTGCATCCCTCTCAAATGAGAGACACCAGAGGATGAGAATGGTAGGAACATCCTGTCCTCAGAGCCCACTCAAAGCCCCTGGGGCTGGCTCTGGGGCACACAGATGCCTTGTCCCGGTCCTGTGATGCGTCTGAAGACTGTCCTTAGGAGGACAACCCTGGGAGGGCCTCTGCTTGCTCCAGCGCAACCTACTCCTGTGGTAAAGTCTCCACCACGGGAGTTTGGACCATGAGTGACAGTGATTCATTGTCTCAGGCCTCGGAGGCAGCCCTGAAAGTGCCTTGCCTCATTCAGGATCTATAACAAAGCATAGGTTTCCCAGATCACCCATTACCATGACCCTTGACCCCACTTCAGCTCCTCACTTCCTGTGGGCCTGAGTAGGCTCCTTCCAGGGCCGTGCCCAGGGTAAGACTCACCTGGCACTTAAGGACACAATGAGGAATGGCAATAGCTCCAACGAGCAGACAATTCACGGTCTTTAGCTCTTCTGGGGGCACAGGGGTGAGGATGTGGTACAGCCGCTTCTCCATGTCAATGCCTCTACAGATGCCTTCAAGACAGGGGCACAACACAAAAATCAGCGTTTCGGAAGACATCAAACCTCCCCACCACTAGAAACTGCAGAATGGCTTTGAACATAAGTCTTTATTTCAGTTCCGTTTTGTTTTGAAAATACAAAGAGCTGGCCGGGTGCAATGGCTCAAGCCTGTGATCCCAGCACTTTGGGAGGCAGAGGTGGGTGGACTACCTGAGCTCAGCAGTTCGAGACCACCCCGGGCAACACGGTGAAACCCCATCTCTACTAAAAATAGAAAATATTAGCTGGGCCTGGTGGTGTGCACCTGTAATCCCAGCTACTCAGGAGGCTGAAAAAATAGAAAATACAAAGAGCCAAAAGATGGAGTCCTTGAAAATTCAGACCGTTTGTACCTTCCCTTTGCTCAGTTATAAGGAACCAAAATGGTCTACATGCAAAAGTCCTAAATTGGACCGGGCGCGGGGGCTACACCTGTAATCCCAGCACTTTGGGAGGCCGAGCAGGTGGATCACCTGAGGTCAGGAGTTGGAGACCAGCCTGGCCAACATGGTGAAACCCCGTCTCTACTAAAAATATTAAAATCAGCCGGGTGTGGTGGCACGTACCTATAATCCCAGCTCCTTGAGAGTCTGAGACACAAGAATCACTTGAACCCAAGAAGTGGAGGTTGCTCATGCAACCTCACCTTGAACCCCACCTCCTTGACCAGCCCAAATAGACAGAGAAAGACTTTGCCTCAAAAAAAAAAAAAAGTCTTAGATTGTTTTAATTAAGGTGAGTACAGGCCAGGGAGAAAAATCCACCACTAAGGAACATACGGAAAATAACCCGACCTTTCCCCATCACTGTTCCTCCTTTGTGGTGTGTCCTAAACGACACAATTTCTGTGGAAATGCTTCTGAGAAATACAGAGTTGTCCAAATCTGAAGTGTGCATTTCAGGACTTTGCTAATCTGGGATTACTTAGCTCCACACCCTTCCAAAACTACACATTCACTGACCTCGGGAAGCCAGGGCTGGTCAAGGAGGTGGGGACCCAATCCCACTGGGCACTTCAGCCCCGGTCCAGACCCTGGATCTGAGCCATGGGAAGTGCCAGGCTGTGGCACAGCTGCACCTGGGTTCAGGTCATTCCTGGCTGTGGGGATAAAGTTTTTAAGAGTAGAAGTGGAAAGTTCATTTAAGAAACTTTTCAGCAGATGCTGGTGGCTGACTAGCAAGGTGAGAACAGGTAGAGGAAGCTGACATATTTTGAAGACAGAAGCCACCAGATCAGCTAATGGCTGAAAGTAGCAAATGAAGACCAGGGGATGCCAAGAGGGGCCAGGGTCTAACCTGGACATCACAGTGAATCTTCCAATAGACCAAGCATGAGCCTGGGGCAAGGAGGAGAGGGTACAGGCAGGAGGACCCTCAGGGCCCCAGGTCTGCATGCCACTGAGACACTCTGGAGATACCTGCTGGCAAGGTGGTTTGGAACACAGCTACACAGCTGTGTTGGAGGACACTGCGGAAAGGGAACCCCTAAAGATGGATTTAGGGCCCAGCAGTGACTGAGGCAGCCTAGGGGAGAAGTGTCAAGCAAGAATAAGAGGGCCAAGCCAAGCCCAGGCCCTTAGGAAGCCTACATTTATGGGAGCCGGCAGACGACGCAGAGAAACAGCTGCTTCCTTCGTAGCCCCAACCCCTAAGGCATGCTGTATAGACAAGTGGGGAGTTCTCTGATCTCTGCAACTTAGACACAGCTAAAGGTCAAGACCAGTCATTTACAGTTGAAGCAGTGGATCCTTTTCAGTAGGTTTATGGACAGGTATGTTTTACTCTCAGACTCACCAAACCCCAAGCAGTCACATATCGGAGTCTGGGCAAGCAGGATGGGCCCATTCGTGTATCCTCTGACGTCATCCTGGATCTTGCAAAGACCAACCCAGCTGGCATTCACAGCATACAGTATATGGGTAGGGGCGACATCAGAGTGGGTAATCCGGAGTGCAACTGCATTAAAAGGGACCTGGAAAATGAATTTGCATCTCACTCTATTCATTGCTACTTTGAAAGACTACTTGTAATTTCTACAATTAGATTAGCCAGCTATCTTTGGCTAGGTCTGCCAAAGTGCCTACCCAAAATTATCTCTAAAGAATAAAAATGGCTGGGGATGGTAGCTCCCACCTATAATCCCAGCACTTTGAGAGGCTGAGGTGGGTGTACCACCTGAGGTCAGGAGTTCAAGACCAGCCTGGCCAACATGGCAAAACCCTGCCTCTACTAAGAAAGCAAAAATTAGCCAAGCATGGTGGCACATGCCTGTAATCCCATCTACTGAGGTGGGGTGGGGGGGCTGAGGCAGGAGGATTGCTTGAACCTGAGAGACGGGAGGTTGTAGTGAGCCAAGATCATGCCACTGCCACTGCACTCCAGCCTGGGCAACAGAGTAGAGACACTGTCTCCAAAAAAAAAAAAAAGTAAAAACACTGGGTGAGGTGTGGTGGCTGACGCCTGTAATTCCAGCAGTTTGGGAGACTGAAGTGGGTGGATCACGAGGTCAGGAGTTCGAGACCAGCCCAGCCAAAATGGTGAAATCCCATCTCTACTAAAAACACAAAAATTAGCCAGGGATGGTGGTGTGTGTCTGTAATCCGTTACTTGGGAGACTAATTTTTATATTTTTAGTAGAGATGGGGTTTTACCATGTTGGCCAGGCTGGTCTTGAACTCCTGACCTCATGATCTGCCCACTGTCAGCCAGATCTGTCACCAGTTGGCCTCCCAAACTGCTGGGATTATAGGCATAGCCACCACACCCAGCCTAATTTTCGTATTTTTAGTAGAGACCAGGTTTTGCCATGTTGGCCAGGCTGGTCTTAAACTCTTGACCTCAAATGATCTACCCACCTTGGCCTTCCAAAATAATCCCAGCTACTTAGGAGGTAATTAGCTGAGATTGTGCCACTCATCCCAGCCTGGGCAACAGAGCGAGATTTGGTCTCAAAAAATAAAAAATAAGGTCAAGATCAGCCTGGGCAAAGTGGCAAAACCTGGTCTCTACAAAAAATACCAAAATTAGCTGGGCATGGTAGCACATGCCTGTAGTCCCAGCTACTCAGGAGGCTGAGGCTTGAACCCAGGAGGCAGAAGTTGCAGTGGGCCAAGATTATGACACTGCATTCCAACCTGAGTGGCAGGAGCAAGACTACATGTCAAAAAAAAAAAAATTAGCTGGACACGGTGATGCACACCTGTAGTCCCAGCTACTTGGGAGGCTGAGGCACTAGAATTGAGAATCACTTGAACCCAGGAAGTGGAGGTTGCAGTGAGCCAAGATTGTGCCACTGCACTCCTGCCGGGAGTGCAGGCTTCAGTCTCATCCTCAACTTTGACTACACCACTTCAGGCGGACTCCCAGTCCCTGGCCTTGGTTTTACCATCTGTAAAATGGTGGTAGTAACAGGACCACGGTGAGGAGTGGCGTTAACGCAGGCTTAGAACAGAGTACTGCAGAGTAAGCGCTTCAGAAGTGCTACCTACTGCTAGCTCTGTTTTTCCTTCATCCTCAATCCTAACGCTATCGTGCTTTCCTCCCAAAATAATCCTTAGCACCCTGGATTCCAAGTAGCAAATACTCTGGTGTTGGAATCCACTTTTGACAATAGTAATGTGAAATACTTTCAGAGTGAGTGCTCTCTGCCCGAGCGCAGTGGCTAACACCAGTAATCCCAGCATTTTAGGAGGTCAAGGAGGGTGGATCACCTGAGCAGCCTGACCAACATGAAGAAGCCCCTTCTCTACTAAAAATACAAAAAAATTAGCTGGGCGTGGTGGTGGTGCATGCCTATAATCCCAGCTACTCGGGAGGCTGAGGCAGGAGAATCGCTTGAACCTAGGAGGCAGAGGTTACAGGGAGCTGAGATTGCCCCATTGCACTCCAGCCTGGGCAACAAGAGCAAAACTCCATCTCAAAAAAAAAGAAAAAAAGAAGAGTGCTCTCTGGGTGCCAGGTTCCATTGTGAATGCTCCCTGAATCCACACAATCACTCTCTCAGGTCCAGTACCACCCCCGTCCTACGGCTGAAAAGGGGAAGTGCTGGAGCAGCCACTGGGACCAGGTGGGACATTCAAACCCAGCACGGAGCAACACTGATCCTCATCACAGCGCCATGGCTAAGAGCAGTCACTGGAGCTAGACTACCTGGGCCTGCATGTCAGGCCGGCCCCTTGTGCTGAGTCCCTCAGCCTCTCTGCATCTCAGTTTCCCCATCTGTAAAATGGGAGTAACAACAGAACCTAGATCACTGGGTTGTTCTGAGGATTACATGAGCAACGAGTTATGGCGTGGTTAGAAGACTGAGCAGCACACAGAAAACCACAGACGTTGTGTGTTAACAAAATGAAGACAATTTCTCCTGTATGTTCAGATTACCTGATAGGGTGTCAGGCTATGTAAAGGAGTAAGTGGTTTTGGCATCGGGGGCTGCAGCTGGCTAAGGTAACTCAAGACAGACAGCTCTCGAAGAATTTTGTTATGTAATTCTCTGAAAAGCAATTCAGAACAAGGTAAATAAGGATTTAACCCTCCGTGGCCATCTCCCACAGCTGTCATCACACAGGCCACATTTTCAGAGTACTGGGCTTTCTGAAGCTGCCCCCACTTGACAGACCCTGACTGGAAAAACAGAAGGTAAAGACTCCTTTACCGGGCGCAATGGCTCATGCCTGTAATCCCAGCACTTTGGGAGGCCGAGGCAGGTGGATCACGAGGTCAAGACATTGAGACCATCCTGGTCAACATGGTGAAACCCTGTCTCTACTAAAAATACAAAAAATTAGCTGGGCATGGTGGCGTGTGCCTGTAATCCCAGCTACTCAGGAGGCTGAGGCAGGAGAATTGCCTGAACCCAGAAGGCGAAGGTTGTGGTGAGCCGAGATTGCGCCATTGCACTCCAGCCTGAGTGATGGAAGCGAAACTCCGTCTCAAAAACAAAAAAAGACTCTCCTTTATGTCAAAGCTGCTGGCAGCCAGAGGGAGGGGCCACTTCTGGATATTTCCACTGGGAATAACAGTTCAGAAAACAACTGGTTCTTCTTTGCAAATGCACAGCTGTGACAGACCTGAAGATTTTAGGGGACTCAGGCCTTTTTCAATGGAAGAAAATGTAGTTCTTCAGCCAAATGAGGTTTAGTTACCTATTTCTTGGGGTTATTCTGAATGCAAAATCCGTATAAACGGATATCAGTTTATGTCCAGTGAACTCAACTGGAATCTCTTTTTCTTCATCAGCAAATTCCAAAGCGTCTGCAAATTCCACAAGTCTGAAACCTCGATTTCTCATCTTGGTCTTGCTTTTTGTGTACAAGCCGTCTATGTCATCTACATACTGCGGGGTAAGGTCTGGCATGCATTTACTGTGGTCAGAGCTGAACTGAACCACGTGGCTGGGAGACAGCAATCGGATCAGATCAATGAGAAGCAGGAGCCCCTGGTCTGTGAGGAAGGAGACATTAGCACAGCTGACACACTCAAGAACAGTGACACATTCATATTACAAATGGGTGCATTTGTTCTAAGACAAAGAAACCGTCAGTAAGATGGTCTTAAAACTGGGCTTTGGCTGGGAGCAGCAGCTCATGTTTGTAATCTCAGCACTTTGTCAGGCCAAGGTGGGCGGTTCACTGGAGGCCAGAAGTTTGAGACTAGCCTGGCCAACATGGCAAAACCCCACTTCTACTAAAACTACAAAAATTAGCTGGGCATAGTGGCGCACACCTTTGGTTCAGCTACTTGGGAGGCTAAGGTGGGAGGATTACTGGATCCCGGGAGGTGGAGCACACAGTGAGCCAAGATCATGCCACTGCACTCCAGCCTGGGTGACAGAGTGAGATCCTGTCTCAATTAAAAAAAAAAAGGGCCGGGCGCGGTGGCTCAAGCCTGTAATCCCAGCACTTTGGGAGGCCAAGGCGGGTGGATCACGAGATCAAGACCATCCTGGTCCACATGGTGAAACGTCGTCTCTACTCAAAATACAAAAAATTAGCTAAGCATGGTGGTGCGTGCCTGTAATCCCAGCTACTCAGGAGGCTGAGGCAGGAGAACTGCCTGAACCCAGGAGGCGGAGGTTGCGGTGAGCCGAGATCGCACCATTGCACTCCAGCCTGGGTAACGAGCGAAACTCCGTCTCAAAAAAAAAAAAAAAAAAAAAAAAAAAAAAAAGAACCAAACAACTGGGCTTCAATGTGGATGTCTGAAAGTCAACAGCTACTCACACTGCCTGTCCTTCCCTTGCAGACGTTCAGATGTGGCTTACCTGAAACCCATCCCATAGTGTTGATGATGAGAGGGGACTCTCTCTTGTAAGCACTGAACACATATTTTATTACGTCAATATAATTCTCAAAGTTGTTTTTACAAGAAGGTTTCCCATAATATACCATCTTCTGTGGTGTCCTCAGGTGCGTGAAAGGTGGTCCTAAGAAGACAAAGGTGAGTAATGAGATGAGTAAGGGAGGATGAGTAATCAATCCTGGCTAGTTAAAAGGTGGGGAGGGTTTTATTTCAGCCATCATCACTAACAAAGAACGTTAGGAAGTATGAGACCATCCTACCTGCAGGGACACTCCAATTCCATTTTTGGAAATCTAAGCTTTCAACTTAACACAAAGATATGCTCACTTTCACATAAATGGCTAATGCCAATTATGTCCTACAATGGCCATTCATTCAACGAACACATAAATCTGCTAACTGCTGAAGAGGCTTGTTCCAGTGATTTGGGACATATCTGTAAACAAAAGAGAAAAACGTCCCCACTCTTGCACGGTTTCTATCCCCATGAAAGGACAATGAATAACCACATGTCTCTTACAGGAATACAGCACTGACTCTGCCCTAGGCCTTTCATATAGAGCCCCTAATTCTCCTAACGACCCTGAGGCAGATAGTAGTATCTTCATTTTTACAGATGAGGAAATTGGGAAAGAGACTGACCTGAACAAGGTCAGTGAGCCAGTAAATAGCAAGCTGGCTTGAACCCAGAGGGCCTGGCTCCTGCGTCCACTCCTAATCATGACACATCTCCTCTGGTCAGGTACAGGGAGCTGAGCAGCTAATGAGGGCAGGCCAGCACACTCAGCAAGCCAGTGACCTGGACTGTGTGTGACAGGGTCAGCAGGGAGATGACCTGGGTCAGTGTGATTGCAGCGAGGCCATCTGTGACAGAGATTCAACTGTCAAAGTGGCCACTATGATGGGAGCTGGAATTCAGCCAGCGAGGCTCCCTTCAAGGTTGGGGCCAGTAAGGGCAGGGATGTGGGGCAGCCAGCAGCAGAAGATATGACCTGTATAGTCTAGCGAAGACTGGACTTCTATAGATTATACTATATGCAAATATAGTCTAATCACATCCAGGTACCACCAGAGAAAGAACTTACAAATATGAAAGCAAGGAAGGCTAACCAGAATGACCCCTGGGGTGTTAAGCTGGAATCGGAATAAGTCGTAAACTCATGGCTTTATTTATTTACTTTTTCATTTTTATCTTTTATCTTTTTTTTTTTTTGAGATGGAGTCTCACTTTGTTCCCCAGGCTGGAGTGCAGTAGCACAATCTCAGCTCACTGCAACCTCCCCCTCCTGGGTACAAGTGATTTCTCATGCCTCAGCCTCCCAAGTAGCTTGGATTACAGGTGCCCACCACCACGCCTGCTAATTTTTGGATTTTTTTAGTAGGGATGAGGTTTTGCTATGTTGGCCACGCTGGTCTCTAAACTCCTGACCTCAAGTGATCCAACTGCCTTGGCCTCCCATAGTGCTGGGATAACATGCATGAGCCACTGTGCCCAGCCTCATGATTTAAAGAAACAGATAGAAAAAGTATTCACAGAAGTACAGATCTTTATGCATACATACAGAGATACATATAGTATGTGTGGGTTTAAATGTGCAATATATGCTAGCTCTGTGCACTGAGGGGATCTAGAAATAATGACACACCAGAGGCAACAAGCACACACAGTACTGAAACTCTGGTTTCAATCTCTCTGCATGAAAAGGAGCCAGGGCTTTCTGGAAAAATAGCTTATTCCAAGGCTATGGAAGAGAAAGTGAAAGATGACCCCAGAACTTCCTGTTTTCCCTGAAAGTTAACACAGTGCTCAAAAACGGATGGAGCCATGGAATGGCTAGGGTCAGTAGAGTTGGAGGGCCCAGGTCAAGGGCACAGGTGGCACCTAGGACATAAGAGGAGCTGAGTAGGCAGACGGGTCCTAGGAGGTGGCCGGCAGGGCAGAGAGGCTACTTATACGCAGGTATATTGTACAGATAAATTAATGTATTAAGAATGAGAGCCAGCTTTCTTTCTTTATCTCTCTCCGTCGCTCTCTTTTTCTTCTTTTGACAGGATCAGCTGGGTCATGGGGTCATGTAATTATAGCTTACACCTATAATTCTAGCACTTCAGGAGGCCAAGGCAGGAGAATAACTTAACGTTAGGAGTTCAAGACCAGCCTGGCCAACATGGTGAAACGCCATCTCTGCTAAAAATATAAAAATTAGCCAGCATGGTGGTGTGTGCCTATAATCCCAGGTACTCAGGAGGTTGAGGCAGAAGAACTGCTTGAACCTAGGAGGCAGAGGTCACAGTGAGCCAAGATCGTGCCACTGCACTCTAGCCTGTGCAACAGAGTGAGACTCTGTCTAAAAAAAAAAAAGGTAGGCCGGGCGCAGTGGCTCACGCCTATAATCCCAGCACTTTGGGAGGCCGAGGCAGGTGGATGACTAGGTCAAGAGATTGAGACCATCCTGGTCAACAAGGTGAAACCCCATCTCTACTAAAAATACTAAAATTAGCTGGACATGGTGGTGCGCGCCTGTAGTCCCAGCTACTCGGTAGGCTGAGGCAGGAGAATTGCTTGAACCCAGAAGGCGGAGGTTGCAATGAGCTGAGATCGTGCCATTGCACTCCAATCTGGGTAACAACAGCGAAACTCCGTCTCAGAAAAAAAAAAAGTATGTATAAGTGTAATATATATACTCATGTGCTACATAATGACATTTTTTTCTTCAGACAGAGTCTCTCTGTTGCCTAGGCTGCAGTGCAGTGGCACAATAGCTCACTGCAACCTCCACACGCAAGGTTCAAGCAATTGTCATGCCTCAACCTCCCAAGTAGCTGGGATTACGGGAGCACACCACCATGCTGGCTAATTTTTATATTTTTAGCAGAGACGGCGTTTCACCACGTAGGCCAGGCTGGTCTTGAACTCCTGACCTCAAGTGATCTGCCCTTTTCAGCCTCTAAAAGTGCTGGGATTACAGGCATGAGCCAACATGCCTGGCCCATTATGACATTTTACTCAACAGACTGCATATACAATGGTAGTCCCCTGAGAGTAAAAAAGAAAATTATTTTTAATTATGGTGGTTATATAGTAGGTGTATATTCATGAGATTTTAATGGAGCTGAAAAATTCCTACCACCTAGTAACCTCAAGTATAACACACATAATTATGTACCATACATCATACTTGACTGATAATAAATGACTATTACCAGTTTATGTATTTACTATGGTGTATATATATATATATATATATATATATATATATTTTTTTTTTTTTTTTTGAGGTGGAGTTTCGCTGTTATTACCCAGACTAGAGTGCAATGGCACGATCTCGCCTCACTGCAACCTCCACCTTCTGGGTTCAAGCAATTCTCCTGCCTCAGCCTCCTGAGTAGCTGGGACTACAGGCACGCACCACCACGCCCAGCTTATTTTTGTATTTTTAGTAGAGACGGGGTTTCACCATGTTGGCCAGGATGGTCTCAATCTCCTGACCTTGTGATCCGCCCGCCTCAGCCTCCCAAAGTGTTGGGATTACAGGCGTGAGCCATCGCACCTGGCTTACTATGGTATATTTTTAAACATTATTTTAGAGTGTACTCCTTCTACACATAAAAAACACTGAATTGTAAAGCAGCCTCCAGCAGGTCCTTCAAGCATTATCCAGAAGGCATCATGATCACAGATGACAGCTCCCTGCGTGCTGCTAACCCTGGAGATATTCTAATGGGACAGGATGTGGTAGGGGCAGGTATTGAAACTGAGCATCTTCACGCTGTGTAGGCTAAAGTGTGTGTTTGTGTCTTAGTTTTATTTTATTTTAAGAATCCTCATCTGGATGTGTCTTAATTTTTAAACCAAAAGGTTTTTTAAAATAACAAATAGGTCAGGCACAGTGGCTCACACCTATAATCCCAGCATTTTGCTGGGCTGAGGATGGTGGACTGCTTGAGCTTGGGAGTTTGAGACCAGCCTGGGCAACATGGGGAAATCCCATCTCTACTAAAAAATACAAAAATTAGCCGGTCATAGTGGTGCATGCCTGTCGTCCCAGCTACTCGGGAGAGTGGGCAGACTGCTCAAGCCTGGGAGTTGGAGATTGCAAGCCGAGATGGCACCACTTCACTCCAGCCTGGTGACACAGTAAGGCCCCACTCCAAAAAATATAAGAAATAAAAGATAAAATACATTAATTTTAAAATGGGAAACAGCTTACAGAAGAGATATAAAGAAGGTATTTTTGTTACAGCTACATTTGCATTAGTGATTTATGCTGTTACTACAGAACAGTAAAAAAGTTAAAAAATGCTTGGTGGAGTGCCTCACGCCCATAATCCCAGCACTGTGGGAGGCTGAGATGAAAGGATCACATGAGGTCAGGTGTTTGAGACCAGCCTGGGCAGCCCTTTCCCTAGAAAAAAATAAAAAATAAGCAGCTGGGTGTAGTGGTGAGTGCCTGTAGTTCTAGCTACCGGGAAGGCTGAGGCAGGAGGTTAACCATCAAATAAATAAATGTTTAAAATAGTCCTCGCACAGTGGCTCACACCTGTAATCCCAGCACTTTGGGAGGCCAAGGAGGGTGAATCATCTGAGGTTAGGAGTTCAAGACCAGCCTGGCCAACATGGTAAGACCCAGTCTTTACTAAAAAAAAAAAAATACAAGAAATTAGCTGAGACTACAGGCACACACCACCAAGCCCAAATGCTTATTTTTTATTTTTTTGTATGGAGAGGGTGAGGCAAGAGAATCCCTTGAACCTGTGAGTTAGAGATTGCAGTGAGCCAAGATTGTGCCATTGCACTCCAGCATGGGCAACAGCAAGACTCTGTCTCAAAAAAAAAAAAACAAAAAAAAAAATTTTTAAAATAAATTTAGTATAGCCTAAGTATATAGTGTTTACAAGACTAGAGTAGGCCAAGTACGATGGCTCATGCCTGTAAGCCAAGCGCTCTAGGAAGCCAAGGCAAGAGGACTGCTTGAGTCTAGGAATTCAAGACAAGCGTGGACAACATAGGGCCCTCTATAAAAATTTGAAAATTAGCCAAGTGTGATAGCATGCCCATAGTCCCAGCTACTCAGGAGGCTGAGGCAGGAGAATAATGAAAGCCCAGGTGTGAAAGCTGCAGTG